TGGTGATACTATTGCAATAGCCAACTATACAAGTTATAGATCACCTTATGGATCAAGATATTCTATTGGTCGTGTTGTAGCCTGTATTAATGGGTCATTTGTTACTGTCTGTAATAACACTGCTTTTCCTGAGTACTTTGCTAGACTAGCTTGTAATAGGGTGGATTCCTATTTAAGTAAATTAACAACTTTTTTTCAGTATCATTATTTCTATTTCTTTCTGTCAATAGATTACACTATCGTTCCATTTGATCCTATGTATCTCAATGGTGATTATAATGTAGTATTTAACAATTGCAGTTATACTCCACAGTATTCTGGTGATTATTCAAACTGTGATGATACAGTTAGTAATGGTGTATGTTCTGATGGAGCTCCTCTTACAGTCAGATGTGAAGCAGGTACATATGACCATATAGTTGCTCATTACTTGTTGCTTGTGCAGAATGTTCTACTTTTGGTCAAGTTCGATTAACAGATACAAATACAGTATATTACAGTAATGGTACTAGTGGTACCACTGGTAATGTGGAGTTTTGTAATTCTGGTACTTGGAATGGAGTCTGTCAGAATGATTTAGATAATTCTGATGCCAATATATTCTGTAGAAGTTTTGGATACAACAGTGAGTTTGATTGAAACATTTTTTCATACTTTGTTTTAACTGTTTTTTTCTATCAGATGGTTCATTCATATCTGGTGGTTCTGGCAGCTCTTCCAGCTACATCAACATCACTTGTCCCAATTATGACTATAATAGTCCTCAGTTCTGTAGTATCAATGGTGATCCATTCACAATGTGTAATAACCCTTCCACCTTGTACTGCTATGATGGTAAGAATACTATAGACCTGAAAACTGTCATTTCCATTTTTTTTAATTAAAGCTACTGCACCTGATGATCAATGCTATTCTGGCCAAGTACAGATAGGCAATAACTATTATTATAATTCTTATTCATATGGTCAATATCCTAATTTCACATCCTACACTACTGGTAATGTGGAGATCTGTGTTAACAACACCTATTATGATGTCTGTGCTGATCAACTGACTCCTGAACAAGCTTTGTTTTTGTGTCGTTCTGCTGGTTTCAATGCCGATCGTGCTTATACTTCAGCTGTTATTGGTCCTGCTGATGAAGTATACAGTTATGATGCTAGTGCTGATAGTATAACTAGTTTTACATGTCCATATGGGTATTTTGATTCATTCTGTACTTACAATTTTGTATACAATAATGGTTGTACTAATAATGGTGGACTTGCTGTTGTTTCCTGTGTCAGAGGTTAGAATATTAGACATTGCTAGTGACTACTGTTTGTGTCATTTATTTTCTAACAATTTATGACAGTTTAGCATTATTCCCTATTTTTTATTTTATATTAGTCTGCAAAGGGCTTATTATTAGTATTATGAGTTTTCTATTTTTTTAGATGTAGAAACTTGTAATACTGGTTCACCTCAGTTACAAGACAGAGGGCAAGGATATTTCAATAATGGGACTGCCTTCAGTATTGGACGACCATCTATATGTTATAATAACTCATACATACCATACTGTACATCATTTGATATGAACACTGCTAGAGCTTTCTGTGGAAGTAGTGAATATTATTATGGTAGAAATTATCATATTGTTATTGTGGTAATAATTATACACTATAGGTGCTCGTTCATATCCAATATTTGGTTCTACTGATGATTATGGATACAATGACCAGTCCAGTCTAATTGTATCTTATCTCTCTTGTCCAATGGTGGATAGCTCAAACTACAACTATATTTTTGGTTCTTGTTACAATAGTACATCTACCAGTGATAATGGTGGCTGCTCTGGAATATCTGATGAAGCTGTTATATCTTGTATTAACAGTAAGTGAATATCACCAATTTGTTTTTATTAAGTTAGTACTGAAATATTATTACAATATCACATTTTATAGGACCTGTTCCATGTAATCTTCAAACAAGTTTAGGATATATTGAATCTTCTTATACTGGTGATAGCTATACTGAGATATATCAAGTTGGTGTTTGTATAAATGCAACTTATGGAGATGTCTGTTCTGATGGAATCACTGATGATGTTGCTTTATTATTCTGTCGTGCACAAGGTGGGATAGTAATGCATGTACTGATATGATTGATTAATATTTTAGGAGGTTATTACAGCACAGCTAGTGTATCATATAGTTACACTAATAGAACTTATTCAAATTATAATAATGATTATGCTGGCTTCAGCTGTCCTTACTATGCTGGTTCACTCTCATCATGTTATGATAATGTCAGTGTAGTTAATAACTGTTCCATGGGATATGGTGGAATCTTAGTTGTGGAGTGTACCCAAGGTATATCATGAATATTGATATTGAGAGCTGTTGAACATTATTTTGTACAATTTTTGTAGTATATGCTCCTCCCACTTCTTGTTATTATGATGGACAAGTTATATTCAATAATACTGAGAATAGTACTGACAACAATAATTTAATGAACAGTATATCTGGGTATGTGTCTGTTTGTGTGAATGGGACACCTGCTCTTGTGTGTGGAGATGCTAGTATTGGACAAACTGAATTGGCTAGTATTTGTTTTCAGACTGTTGGTGTACTATGTAAGCTAAATAATTTACTGAATGATTGTTTAATTGTTTTCCACACAGATGGTAATATTGGTACTCCTCCTAATGTTAGTCTTGCTCCTCTCAATGTGTCCAATGACACTATTGTAGCTAACGATTTTTATTGTGATCCTGAAACATTTTCATGTACAAGTACTCCTGGTTCCACTTGTCCCAGTGGATATTTGACAGTAACATGCCCTCAATGTACATATTATACATTATGCACACATTTATTAATGACACTTCCTTTATTTATATTTTTGTATTCATTTAGTGTGTAATGGACCAAGTTTTCAGTTATACAATGAACAGTTTTATCTTTCTAATGGTATTGAATATGTCACTGGTATACCAATATTGTGTGAGGGTTTTGCTATCATTGCTTTATGTAATGATGGTAGTATTTATGATGATCCTGCCAGTCTCCTCTGTGATGCATTAGGATATGAGAGTATGTTTATTATTGTGTTTGTTATTATTTGTTCCTCTTATTCAGATGGTATATCTATCAATAGTAATCAAGCTTTATATGGAACATTACCTACTGGAGCACAATATTTTAATAACTTTACATGTCCACCTGATGCTGTTCATTATGACAATTGTACAGCTAATTTTACTTTTAATCGTAACTGTGCCAGTAGTGCATACAACTATGTAATACAGTGCTCTAGACCAGCACAAAGTAAGCCACAGGAAACATTATTTTTATGTAAATAGTTATACAGTGTAAAACCACATCAATTATGTCCCATTTTTTCTTTTGCTTTTATAACAACTGAAGAAAAAGTTTTGTAGATATAAAAATATTTGTATTTATTCTAATTTTTCTTATTTTTTGACACTAGTCTTTGGTACGATTGACGTCACTGCAGTAACTCAGTTAATAGAAGAAGGAAACACACTGACACTTACATGCTCTCTAATGACCAACTATCCTGGAGCATTGCCTTTCTCATGGTTCAGAGGCTCTAATCTAATTACACCAAGTGGTCGTGTCACCATTAGCAATTCTAATCCTACTGCTAATAGTAGCACTGGACTCTATACTATTACAAGTCAATTGATGATACAAAACACTTTGACTGGTGATAGTGGTCAGTATTTATGCCGTGTGGTACCAAGTCTATCAGACAACATTGCTATTACCATTAGACGTATGTGTACTTGTTGAAAAATTCATAATCTATAGCTTGTGTTTTTTGTTTTTATAGCAAGGAATGAGTGTACTATTAATGATCCTAGCACTCCATGTGTTAATGGATATTGTGTTGATGAAGTGAATGATTATTATTGTGTTTGTCCTAATAATTTCATTGGAAAGAACTGTGAAATACCAGGTAGCCAAATAACTTGCAAAACAATTTTGTTATATTTTTTGTATAGTTTCAAGTAATTCTGCTCCTGTAATTGTGACTCCTCCAATGGATCAAGATGTTCCACTAGGAAGTCTTGTCAACTTGACTTGTGTAGCAACAGGTGCTCCACAGCCAGTCATCACTTGGTATTTAGAAGGGACTCTTATACCTGGAGCCAACTCACCAATCTACATTATTGATAGCATTCAGCCTGCTCAGAGAGGAACTTATTCTTGTAGAGTTATGAATAGTGAAGGAATGGATCAAGCTACTGCAACAGTGACTATCAATAGTATGTTAATAGCCTATGCTTTTTTGCCAAAGTTTAAAAAATACTCCCAATTTTTATAATATTTCTGATGCATATGCTCTTATGAACAAAATTTCGACTCATAGTCTTAGTTTTAATTGACAGTATCAAATATTCATAAAAATCATTGTGTCCATTATTTTTAATAGATGTCAGACAATATTTCACAGTATTAACAGCTTCCGGACAAGCACAGTTGCCTCCTAACATTACAGCAGTTTATAATCAAGTAATTCAATATTACAACACTACGCACTATTGGTTACTGTATATCTCCTTATTTTAGACTCGTGATGCTCTTATTGGTAATGAACTTTCCCCTGGTAGTGGTATAATAGTTGCTGATCTTACATATGCCCTTGTGTAAGTTAAAGTTCAATCTCAATTGTACTTTGTGCTTATAGTTGTGAACTACCGTATACGTCCAAATTTTCGAGGGTTCAAAATTTCGTGTTTTCAATGAAATTTGCTCAAAAGTTAATATTCGTGTGAGCTAATTTTTGTGTTCTGGCCATAGTCTACATACAATAGAATGGCATTAGAGGTGGTTTAAATTTCGTGGATTTAAGGTGAGCACGAAAATAACGAAATTTAATACACCTCGAAAATTAAGACGCGTACGGTATTACAGTCAGCCTTTTCCATAGGACTTTGTCATAGTGCTAATGTTTTTCGTCAGTAAATTGTCAAATTCTCTTTTTATGTTTTTTTCTGGTACCTATGCATGTTCTTATGTTGTATAAAATTTTAAGTGGATTCCAATCAAAATTGTTTTTTTTTGAATTTTAAAAGTTGCTTCCAAACAGTATAATGTACCCTAAGTCATTAATAATTATGCCCATAGGCCTGGTGTTTTAGGAGTCCAATTTATTTTCACTCTACGAGTTCCTCCAATGGCTAATACTAATGGAATTACAAACTCACTGAATGGTGTTACTGCTAATATTGCTGCAAATTATCCTGGCATCAGCTTCTCTCTAGTTATGAGATTTGGTATGAACAAAACATTATTATTACATTATTTTAGTAAAACAATATCAACATGACACTTCATTATATTATTAGTTCCAACACATTGATCATTAATGTATTCATTTCTATTAGATGGCTGTTCTTCTGAGACACTAGCAGTGACTACTGGCAGTTCATTGAGTATAATGTGGCCTGAGGTTGGTATTGGTGCTGTTGCTAGACCAAACTGTCCCTGTGGAAGCCTGGTAAGCATAATTGAATAGCTACTGTATAGGTACAAAATTCTGTGGGATATTTAATTTTGCGGATTTTGTGGGTGACTTTTTAGCGACAAAAATTAATACCTCACTGCGTATGCACAGCATGTTAAAATCTATGACTTAATATTAGCAAGTGCACATGCAAAAATTTGAAATTTAACCCCCTTGAAATTAAAAAATTAAGACCTTTTAGTTTTTACTAAATCACAAAATTTTGTGCCCTCGAAATTTACTACCTGTACGGTATTCTTATTATTGTAAATATTATTATTCAGTTTGT